ACACACCGTTTCAACTTCAAAAACACGTAACTTTGTTACAAACAAACCAGTACAGATAAAAAACACACACACCGTTTCAACTTCAAGAACACGTAACTTTGTTACAAACAAACCAGTACAGATAAAAAATACACACACCGTTTCAACTTCAGGAACAAATAACTTTGTTACAAACAAACCAGTACAGATAAAAACACACACACACCGTTTCAACTTCAAAAACACGTAACTTTGTTACAAACAAACCAGTACAGATAAAAAACACACACACACCGTTTCAACTTCAAAAACACGTAACTTTGTTACAAACAAACCAGTACAGATAAAAAACACACACACCGTTTCAACCTCAAGAACACGTAACTTTGTTACAAACAAACCAGTACAGATAAAAAACACACACACACACACCGTTTCAACTTCAAGAACACGTAACTTTGTTACAAACAAACCAGTACAGATAAAAAACACACACACACAGTTTCAACCTCAAGAACACGTAACTTTGTTACAAACAAACCAGTACAGATAAAAAACACACACAGTTTCAACACACAGAATCAGTTAAGAAGTTCTAAAACCACGTGTTTCCTTTTCACACATTACGAATTAGTAACCATCTATATCCACCGATAACTCCAAATCATACAACTACGATCAACTGATCAAAAAAATCTATGTATCTCAAATAAACACTCCAGCCTAAATAATAACCTTTCAGATCTCTAAATTTGGATTAAATTGTGTTCTTAACTTTTGTAAAATGTACTATTTTCTTCCGCTCTGTATATTAAAACTTGTACTGTTTATTGTTATATAAATATTTTAACTACTGATGGAGTTCGTCGTGTTTTACCGTGGTCTTCAATTAAGTTCGTTTTCCTACTAATAAATCTATTGACTGATTATGAATGAAAATATACATGGTTTATTTAATCCCAAGACAGATACTGACCTAGACTAGTCTTTTTTTCCACATAACAAACAACATCTTTTGCGTACTTCGACCATAGCTTCGCTCGCCGTAAAGCGTGCGACACTCCATCCTCGGTGGCCAGAAGTTTGAGGTCGATATCCTCGGGTGAAAGGACTGGAGATTCTGTGAATGTAAAAGAACATGATACAGACGGGAGTAAACACGTGGACGTAAATGTCTGAAAACCTTTATGCAGATAAATGAATACATCTCTGATAGAAATTACACGTGTCAGAATACATTTACACACGGAAGTAAACATGTGGTCAACACTCAGAAGCGTAGCCAAGACTACAGAATGGGTGGACCTAAGCATGTGGTCAATACTCAGAAGCGTAGCCAAGACTACAGAATGGGTGGACCTAAACATGTGGTCAATACTCAGAAGCGTAGCCAAGACTACAGAATGGGTGGACCTAAACATGTGGTTAATACTCAGAAGCGTAGCCATGACTACAGAATGGGTGGACCTAAACATGTGGTCAATACTCAGAAGCGTAGCCATGACTACAGAATGGGTGGACCTAAACATGTGGTTAATACTCAGAAGCGTAGCCAGACTACAGAATGGGTGGACCTAAACATGTGGTCAATACTCAGAAGCGTAGTCAAGACTAGAGAATGGGTGGACCTAAACATGTGGTCAATACTCAGAAGCGTAGCCATGACTACAGAATAGGTGGACCTTTTCTTCTACACTTTGACCTGAATGTTAGAAGATAGGGGGCCTGACATTTTAGAATATTTAACTGACCCCTCCTGATCAATAAGTGTTAGATGAAAGTATCTATCCTTGTCTGGACACTTCAATTTTCTATGAAATATACTCTGAATTGACCTGGGGTGACAGGTCAAGACAGGCCCAAGTATCTATCCTTGTCTGGACACTTCAATTTTCTATGAAATATACTCTGAATTGACCTGGGGTGACAGGTCAAGACAGGCTCAAGTATCTATCCTTGTCTGGACACTTCAATTTTCTATGAAATATACTCTGAATTGACCTGGGGGACAGGTCAAGATAGGACCAGCATGGGCAGGTGATTAGGGTGCTTGACTCGCAATCTGAGGTTGTGGGTTCGAATCCCCGTCCCACCAAACATGCTCGCCCTTTCAACCGTAGGAGCGTTATAATGTGACAGTCAATCCCACTATTCGTTGGTAAAAGAGTAGCCCAAGAGTTGGCGGCGGTGGGTGGTGATGACTAGCTGCCTTCCCTCTAGTTTTACATTGCTAAATTTGGGTAACTAGCGCAGATAGCCCTCGTGTAGCTTTGCGCGAAATTCAAACCAAACAAAACCAGGTCAAGGCTGACCAATAATCTAAGATACATTTCATACGGGATTCTGTATTGTTTTAAGAATTTCCCTGGAATTTTGTGACATTTAATTTTACAAATGGAAACCATGAGAACATCGGTGGGGTGTAATGAGCAGTGCTTATACTAGTCAACAGTAATAGTGTTTACTTGCAACAGTATTTTCTGAACTTAAAAATAAATATAAAAAATAAGAAAAACTTGTTCGAAATGTGCTTCACTATTTGCGTTTATATTAACAACCAATCTTCCATTTTTAGTTCTTTATTAGTTTTAAGGATCAATACAACACAAACAACAAACCTTTACAACACTACTAACAGTCTTAAGTAAACCTATAAGGTCAAAATTAACTCCGGATTTAAATCGGATAAACCTGGTAATATTTTTTTGAAAAAGCAGGAAATATCTGCTAAAAACCAAAAATAAAGAACCTCAATTACTTGAACTACGAATTCACGAATAAATGTTTCGAAAATCCTTTGGTTCATATTTAATATCTACACCTGATTTCTGGGTAGGCCTTTAGACGTTACGATTAGTATTCAGAATATTAGTGTGAAAAGTTAGGCTTAGTATGTAGGATACTATTGTGGAATACTAGGCCTAGTGTTCAGTGTATTATTGTGGGCCGTTAAGCTTAGGATTCGGGGTATTATTCTCGATTGTTAGGCTTAGGAGTTAGGACAATGTCCATCAGAAAGTCGGTCGTATAGTCAGCATATGTAATTCACGAAAAACAGTAAGTGTTGTGTCTGTTATTTGTCCAGAAAATGTATCTAAAAGAAGTGACACGTGTTGTCTGTATAACATCAAACCAGGCAGAAGTTAAATAAATCGCCGAGTTATGAGCTACTTCGAATGAGTAAGGCTAGGCTTACATGTTTATATGGATCAAGTGAAAAGTTTGTTCTACTATGTAAAAGTAAAAAAAGGAAAGGAAAACACGTGAACAGAACATGCAAAGAATTCAAACCATGTACACCCCTCCCATACTTCGGCCTTGAAAAGGAAGTACAGAAAATTCCAACCTCAAAAATATAGTGTCAAACACTTGTGATATATTCCTTTTGCGAGCAACGCTAACACTTGTTTCACGACTGCCCCGATGAAATTCTATTGAAAATAAGTTAATTCTTAGAATTTCGATTTCCCTTGACCAAATTAGTGAACATCATCAACCTCCATAAAAGTTTTATATTCGGGCAAACCAACAAATCTGTGGCAGGAATTTAGGTTTAAAAGCTTTCAAGCCTCAAAAAAGATCTTGGAGCCTGAAAGTGAAAGACAACCCTGCTTCTCTTCACCTTTTATTTTCAATATTTTAAGGAAAAATGAGATAAAAATGGCAAATCCGTTCTTCGGAAATACTGTTTTTAACTTTCTTGTTAACCTTAACAAACAGTCAGTGTATATAGCACACAAAACTTTCTATATATCACATCAAATACGACTATACATACAATTTAAAAACAACAACAACAAACGTTTTTAAACACCACCAAATCTTTCACAAGAAATAGAAAAAATATATATAGTACATGATTTTTTTGTTGAAATTTTAGTCTCGAACATTCCATTCGTTACAAATACAATAAGGCAATGGTTTAAAAATAAGTCGGTTCTGTTAAACTTTTTTGTTTGTAGTGAAGCACAAAGCTACACAATGAGCTATTTGGGCTGCGGCCCCCCAGGTATCGAACCCCGGATTTTAGAATTGTACGAAAAACTTTCTATGGTGACCCAATACCTAAAAATCCAATATGTTTTATTTGCTGAGCATATTTGGTAAGGTTTGTTTGTTTATAATTAAGTACAAAGCTACACAAAGGGCTATCTGTGCTCTGCCCACCATGGGTATCGAAACCCGTTGTAAGTCCGCTGTGCCACTGGGGGGAGGGCGCATATTTGGTAAGAAAATGTTATGAATATTTATATGTTTTGTTTCCTTTTTTATGATTAATACACAGGTTTAGTTAACAAAGGATTAATTTTAATTTCAGATTTCATTTTATCAAAATGAAATTAGGATTTACAGTTTACATTTGATGGTATCAACTACACTAAAAAAAACATTAAATAATTCAACTCACTTGGTCCTTTTTCTTGTGAGTACACTTGATTAGAAACACCACCAGAGGACAAAAGATTTTCGGACGACTGTACGAGAAGACAAATAATTAAATATTAGTTGAAATGATTGTTTACACAAGTTCAGCTTTACCTTAAATCAAAATTTCCATTTTAAATCTTTAAGTTAAGTTCCTGAATAAGATTATAAAACAACACAACTAGTTACATTAGTTGTGACGTAACACAGTTTATAGTGAACAAATTTATTAGAATATCGCAGTTGTTATGGCAACTACACACGTTTTTTTTTGTACAGAATAATACTGTATGAAACTTCGTTATCAGCATACACGTTGTTATTCCTTTGCACATTGTTCTTTATCAGTTCAGAGGTGTAGCGCTGCCTGAGATTGGAGCTGAGTGTCGACACTTCAAAACTAAATATATAAAACAAGTTATTCACTTTACATTCTCATAAAACACTATGGCTGTTAGTAATCGCCCGTGTTCACTGGTACAGTTTTCTCAAACCGCCCAGCACAAACACACACACTATCACTCTCCCTCAGGAGCTGGCGTAAGGCACCGTGAGACCGTTCCAACTCAAGAGTATGTGTCAGAATGTTGAAATGGTTTTCTGCCATACGTCACATGGTTATTATTATATACATGAATATGGTATTAAAACACTTAATAAAGTAAATTTTACAGTTGTGTTTATTAAAACGTGCACACTTTTAAAAGGTTTATTATTCACATAATATACAACAAAGGTCGCTTGTTATAATTGTTCGTGTTGGCAAGACACGAGTTAAAACAGTGCTTTGTTATTTTCACTGTAGTGTAGTAAAATATACGTAACACTTCCATCGACAAATGGAAAACAAGATTGTCAAGGGTCATTGTACAATTAGAGTAGGTTGATAAAACCTCTTAACATAAATAAAACCCGATATACACATACACAGGCTCGTATATATATATATAGAACGCAGTAAAGATGCACGTATTTATCTATATTGATATACAGGGTAACCCTAAAGAAACACGAGTTTCACAACACGTACAGAAGTATCTCGTTTCCTGACAGCTATATATTAATTAGATAACATACTGTAAAGGTAAATAGGAATAGAGAAAATCAGTTAGAAGGTATTTATTTCCTTGTTTGAACTGGTGCTCGTGACACACACGTTCTGAGAACATCAAGCTAACCCGGAAGGTGAGAAAGAGAATAATATTACGTGGAAGGTTAGAAAGAGAAGAAACGTACCCGGAAGGTTAAAGTGAGAGGAAACTTGCCCAGAAGGTTATAAAGAGAAGAATTATATCCGGAAAGTTAGGAAGAGACGAAACATACCCAGGAGGTTAAAGGGAGATGAAACTTACCCAGGAGGTTATAAAGAGAAGAATTATATCCGGAAAGTTAGGAAGAGATGAAACTTACCCAGGAGATTAAAGGGAGATGAAACTTACCCGGAAGGTTAAAGGGAGATGAAACTTACCCGGAAGGTTAGAAAGAGATGAAACTTACCCAGGAGGTTAAAGGGAGATGAAACTTACCCGGAAGGTTTGAAAGAGACGAAACCTACCTCGTCTTTTTGAGATTGCCGAGAATCTAAATCACCCATGATGTAGTCCGAAACTCTGTGGATAAACAAAGAAACGTGTTTACTGAAATTATACTCCACACAGATCTACGAAGTGTTTACTACACAGTCAAATAATATTAGTTTACAAGGTGAAAAAAACAACAAAAACATTATACTCTTGCCAATTTGAAGTCAAATCTCTGGTATATGTTTACCCAAAATTAAACACGCGTAAAAACCTTTATTTATAAGAGTACCAGTTGGTAAGGAGAAACCCAAGAGTTGGCGGTGGGTAATGTTGACTAGTTGCCTTCCCTCTAGTCTATCACTTCAATACTAGGGGCGGCTAGTGCAGATAGCCCTCACATAGCTTTGCGTGAAATCCAACAAACCTAATAAACAGGACTCTGTCGTGAGCTATACCATGGTAACAAACAAGACTGTCGTGAGCTATACCATGCTAACAAGCAAGACTGTCTTGGGCTATATCATGGTAACAAACAAGACTGTCGTGAGCTATACCATGGTAACAAACAAGACTGTCGTGAGCTATACCATGGTAACAAACCTAACAAACAAGACTGTGTCGTGATCTATACCATGGTAACAAACCTAACAAACAAGACTCTGTTTGAGCTATACCATGGTAACAAACAAGACTGTCTTGGGCTATACCATGGTAACAAACAAGACTGTCGTGAGCTATACCATGGTAACAAACCTAACAAACAAGACTCTGTCGTGAGCTATACCATGGTAACAAACAAGACTGTCTTGGGCTATATCATGGTAACAAACAAGACTGTCTTGGGCTATACCATGGTAACAAACAAGACTCTGTCGTGAGCTATACCATGGTAACAAACAAGACTGTCTGAGCTATACCATGTAACAAACAAGACTGTCGTGAGCTATACCATGGTAACAAACAAGACTGTCGTGAGCTGTCGTGATCTATACCATGGTAATTAGGGATCGAGTCTATACTTTATGAAGAATATTGACTATTACCTTTTGTAAAACTGAATAAACCCTGTATAAAATCACGGACAATACATACGACATACATATAAAATAAATAAATATATTTAATGGTACCAAGGAAATTATTACGAAGATATTTTGCCTCACCCTGTATTTAGCTTCCTTCAATCATCGTTAACTGTACAATGAAATACATGAAACATGCATACTGAACAGCTAAAGTAAATAAAATATTAGAGAACACCAAGTTGTAAACTACAACTTCATCGTAAACCCGAGTGTAACGTAGAGTCGTTCAAAAACAAGGGTCGTAACCTCTGTATGGTTGATGTTTTCATTTAAAGCTCATATTCGTGCGGGGGTATACGAAGGTTAGGCCTGATCGGATTCAGTAAACAGTTGCGTGCCATGTCGACACCAGAGGTCAAGTGTTTAAGTCATTCCAAATATTCAATTGAGATCCTTGGGCACAGAGAGAGAGAGAGAAGAATTAAGAACAATAACGTCATAACGACAAGTTATTTCGTCACATGCGTCGTATCACGTGCACAAGCAATACCGATCGTTCTCGACGATAGCTTCACGAGATATTCACGCACGCACACACCAACTGAAGGGTGTAATTTACACACAAGATCAATGCACGTGCTAGTTTACTATATCCTTTAATTCGATATTATAAAATATCAAAGATAACATTCAAAATTATGTCACAAGCAAACTATGCGTCTAACTTGTACACCCACTTTTCACCGTGTATTCCAATCATTTCAGTAACTTTACTGCGACATAAAATACTCCACTGAATCTAAATCTTATACAGCGTACTCCTGATTCTACACAACCCCCGATACACGAGTAACCTTCATGTTTACATATAGCGTACTCCTGATTCTACACAACCCCCGATACACGAGTAACCTTCATGTTTACATATAGCGTACTCCTGATTCTACACAACCCCCGAT